TCGAGATATAAATTTTGGTTCATATCACCCAGTCATACTCCTTAGGCTAGACACCTAATCCAACTGCTCCCACATTGCTTATGGTAAATAGCTGCCTGCTGCTCCACTTAATGTATGTGTAACTCATATGCGTGATGGGTTAAATGCAGAGGACAAATTTTGTCGTTGTGTGTGTATGCATTGATAATAACACATTTCACATCACTTATGCATAGTCAAACTTTTAACAGATGTAGGTACCCGGTATGTCAAAAGTGAAAGAACCTTGAAAACTAATTAAAGAAAAGTTGTGTTACAAAACAGAAATGCAAGTTTCCTGATTTATTTAACAAGTCAAATTTGTTTATAAAGCACATTTTAAACAGCAGCTGTTACCAGTGTTTTGTCATGAGTTGTAAACCTTTTCAGCAAACCTTCAGTTATGCTTTCAGAACTACACACTTATGTTGATTAATGTAAGTACAAATGAGGGATATTGCAGCTTTTACTGTGTTTAATCCAACAACTGTTAATGCAATTCAAGATTTTCTTAAAGTGATAGTTTGGTCATTTTCAAGCAGGTTTCTGTGTACAAGTTATAAATGGGTAATATATTTGTTGTAATATATAGCTTATTCAAAAAACAATTTAGTCTGAACAAATAATGATTCTGTCCAACAGCACTGATGAGCTAACTCTAGCCTGAATGCAGCTAAAACCAAAATGGATTGCGGTCATCTTTACTTCATTTTCAAAATTTTACAGCAGCTTATGTTAATACTATTTTATAAACCATTACAGCCATCAGGATTTTATGTTTTAGCCAAAGTAACCATGCAATACAAAGTGAAATGAAGTGCAAAAGGTTAAAATAATAGTGTTCACATAAAGATGTGTTGGTTAGAAATGTCATCAAAACAATACTCTGAGTAGCGTTTTAGTTAAATTTGCTTATAGCTTTGTATTTATTTAAGTATCTAAAATGGGTGGCACTATCAGCTTTTTCAATTGCAGTGTGAGATAAATATGATCATACTTTTCAGCATTTAGGTTTACAATTTGGGGTTAACTTAAAATTGATTTATCATTACAAACATAAAAATAAAAACAAGTTTGACCCTCTGGGCTTGCTGCATTCAGATTAGATACTATGGGGAACAATGCTTATAAATACAAATTAACTTTTTAAAATTATGCATAGATTATCAAACAATCACAATTCAGTGGTAATTTAAAACATTGCTCTAATTAATGTGCAGGAGACCAAGTCCTTGGCACAGGGCACATCTTTGTGGGGAGTCAATATTAAGCATGATCATAGATGATGAAGTTTTCAGGAAATTTATGAATTATCTTTGAATTCTCCCATTCATAGTTTGTCTTTGTTGGTTAAAAAATGACAAAATTGGAAATTTGAAGCCCAATTATTTTGTTGTATAAAAACTGGGCAAGTAGTACAAAAAGTAAGGTTCCTGTGTAAAACTGGAAAACGTTAACAGAAACTGTGTTTTTAGTATTTATTATTGCATGCAATGTTTCAGTGATGTTAAATTTAGTTTTATACATGTCATCTTCACCAAGTAATTTTAATTAGCTTAAGTTAATTAGCTGAGTGTAAGTCATTTCAGTTTATTTATATAATGCCAAGTCACAACAAAAGTTGTCTCAGTGTACTGTACAGAAACATTCACATACATTAAAAAAGCCAATTATTAAAAGTTACCTATCTATGGAAGCCAGCAGATTTCATTGAGTCTTCACTTCGTCACAGTCTCCCATCCTGAGCAAGCACATTGACAACAGTGGAAAGAAAAAACTCCCTTTTAACAAGAGGAAACCTCCAGCAGAACCAGTCTCAGGACAAGTGGTCATCTGCTTTCACCAGCTGAGGTTTGAGAGGACAGGAAGGAGAAAGAAACACAGAATGACAGGTCCAGGTTTACTTTCTATTGGAGGAAAGACAAAAAAACACGTTAATGATAAAAATAATTACAAATACAAACGGGTAGAGTAGAGTAAGTAAAGACAGCAGCAGAAATGAGCAAATGTGGTCAATTTGTCCTCCAGTCTAAGCCTATAGCAGCATAACTAAAAGGATTATCTGAGCTATCCCAAATTCAAACCACCCCTAAACTATTGGATTTATCAAAAAGGAAATACTTAAACCTAATATTAAAAGTGGACAATGTCTCAGGCTTATGGACAGAAACTGAAAGTTGGTTCCACAAGAGAGGAGTCTGATAACTGAATGCTCTGCCTCCCATTCTACTGTTGGAAACTCTAGGAACCACAAGTAAACCTACAGTCTGAGAACGAAGTGCTCTGTTAGGAAAATATAGAACAATAAGATTTCTAATCTAATATGGAGCTAGGTTGTTGAGGACTTTGTAGGTTAGAAGTAAGATTTTGAATTCTATTCTGAATTTGACAGGGAGCCAATGGAGAGAAGCTAAAACTGGAGAGAGATGATCTCCCCTACAAACTCTCATGAAAACTCTGGCCAATTTTTTGGACACCCAGATAATAAACAATTGCTATAGTCCAGTCTAGATGTTATAAATGCATGGACCTGTTTTTCTGCATCATTTTTGGACATGATCTTTCCAACTTTAGTGATATTACGCAGGTGGAGGAAAGTGGTTCTGGGAACTTTTTTAATATGGGGGTAAAATACATAACTTGATCAAAAATAACCAATATTTTTTACATTAGATTGAACATTTTGTAACATTTGAACATTGTGTAAGATCGATGGAAATGGAAAAGTACAATCTTAATGGGCTTTATCTTGTGTTGTTTTGATTGTTTCTACCAGGACCAGCAACACGTTTGGTACAAGCAACATCTTGAGAATCTACAGAAACTGAAGCAAGAGAAGGGCAAACTGAATCAGGACCTGGGTGATGCTTCTATGCCACCACCTCCACCCATGAGTCAAATAGCTCAGCCTCCTCTTCCTCCCTCAGAACCACCACAAAGCGCACCACCTCCTCCACCTCCGACAGAAGAACCTTCTGTGCCCCCTCCACCACCACCTGTAAGCCATGTAAGGTTTCCTAAAATATTAAGTCAGTTTTTACCAAAAAATGTGTCCCACTATCTAAGTGTTTATATTGTTTGCACAAATTTACAGAGTGAGAATGTAGGAAACCCACCTACATTTAAAGAAACAGTAAGTCAGGCTATTCATTTATTTAGTTGTCATTTTCACCATCTTCATGATTTTTTTTTCCTCTGTTCTTGTGATATCTGGCATGTCTTGAATAGAGTTGGGTGCCCAACTCGGTGCTTTCAACAATGTTCATCAATTCTTATTGGCTTTGTAAACCAGAGGTTGCACTTACTTAAACTTTGGTTTTCAAAATTGTCATAGCTGTTATCCTTAAGAGACACTTACAAACAATTAAATTTATACTAATATATTCACTTTGAAATAAAATATGAACTTCAATCTTCATGTAATATCTAAAATTTGCTCTAAATGAAATTATATTTTGGTTAATGCTCTTGGAGATGGGGTGGGAAGTCTTTGGGGAATCCTGGAAGTTTGTTGCAGAGTTCACTGCTTCGCTTTCATCTTCCGCGCATTTTGTCATATTTCCAAAATACTGTACCGCAATTTTATTTTACGCTTCTTGTAAACAACCGTGTTCTTGTTGAGCTCTGTCTTCCCCCGGAACATTGTAGGATCTGAAATGATTTTTAAAGACGAAGAGACGCGTTGTATCGCGTTGTCCTCCATGCTAGCAGGCTCCATTCAGATAAAGAGAGCTGGCTAACTAGCTTGCTGTACGGTGGCCTACATAGCCCAATTCTATGGCGGCTGAACGGGGATAAAACTTTAATGCATTTTAAAATCGATTTATGGGCCTTTAGAAACGATTCAGAATCGCCAGGTCTAAGAATGTAGATTCTTTAAAATAAATAAATCTGCACCCCTATATGTGCATGTTATTAAGATTATTGTTGTTGTGAATGACATGTCATGGTCCACAATCTCAGTATTCTAATTTGTTAGAATAACAAGTAGCTTTACGATTTTTAATATACTTTAGTGCAAGGGAACGCTGTCTCTTAAAATAATTTATTCCAATCTCTGCTAACAACTACTCTTTGGGATCCATCATTGAAAACAAGGTAACTACATCATGGTCTTGAAAGTCTTTACCTTTTTAGGGAACAGCACCCAACCTTATTCATCCATCTGTTGTGTGACTCCACCCTTTAAAATACTACTAGGAGTGCTCAAATTTTACTAAAGCAGTGTTTTGTTTTGTTTGTATTTCAATGTTTTAGTAGTACATTGAGTCCATCTAAAAAAAAATATCAACCATACAGTTTGCTTTCTCCAAATGTTTAAAAAAATTTCTAGAATTAAAAACTCCATGCTTTAGAAATGTGTTCTAATCTTTGCTCGTTTCTGTTTAAAGCCGGATGTCCCACAAAACTCTGAAGAAGCTGCCCGTCTCCAGCAGTTACAAGCTGCAGCAGCTCAGTGGCAGCAGGTGCAGCAGCAGAGAGCAAGTCTACAATACCAGGCTCTCATGCAACAACACGAGAAGCTTCAGCAGGTTCTTGAACAATACCAACAACTGATTAAACAACCTCCAGACCTACAGGTACATAAATGTTCAACAGTGCAGTAAGACACCTTTTCAGTTTAACTGCACTGTTTCATTTCTGTTTAGTAAATCAAATACTAAAAAATAGCTTTTTTCACTTTGTCATTTGTTGCAGTCAATGTCTGCTGAATTGCAGCTGAGACACTATGGAATGCAACAGCAACAGTTCAACTCTTTATTCCAAACTTGGGTTGCATCCTTTGCCTTATGGTATGAGCAGTTTCAGACTTATCCACACAAAGACCAACTACAGGAATATGAGCACCAATGGAGGCAGTGGCAAGAGCAGATGAACGCTACCAATGCCCATCTTCAAGAAAGAGTGGCCACTCTTACTGCCATAGTACCGTTTTCTATGATGGCACAGATTGGTCAATTCCCTGCACAAGAAATCCATCAACAACCTTTAAATCCAGGTATTCAGAATCCCCCAGTTACTGTTGGTACAATACCTCCAGGTCAAGAATCACCTGCTGGATCCACTTTGCAAGGAAATGTTTCTTCTGGTGTCGGAGTGAAGCCTCCTGGTCCCCCACCTGGGCAGCCATCTAGTTTCAGTGATGCCACACAGCCAGGGTCAGTAAGAGTTGTTCTGTAACATTTGTGCTTTATTATTTAAATAAACGTAGGATTGACCTTTTTGAAGCAAAATAAATATACAAATGTTTGCTTTATTAATGCTAATTTGACATTTTCTGTGTTTTTGCTGATTCCAGACAAACCATATTCAACCCCCCACTACCAGGTCTTGATGGTCCTCCAAGGTTTGACAATCCACCACCTAGTTTTGATGGTCCTCCAAGGTTTGACAAGCCACCACCTAGTTTTGATGGTCCCCCAAGTTTTGACAAGCCACCACCTAGTTTTGATGGTCCCCCAAGTTTTGACAAGCCACCACCTAGTTTTGATGGCCCTCCAAGGTTTGACAAGCCACCACCAGGTTTTGATGGTCCCCCAAGTTTTGACAAGCCACCACCAAGATTTGATGTTCCTCCAAGATTTAACCAACCTCCACCACATTTTGATAGTTCTCAAAGGTTTAACCAACCACAGCAGCGTTTTGATGGTCCCCCTCCATTTGACCATCTACGACAACGCTTTGATGGGCCACCCAGATTTAATCCACCACAAACACGCTTTAATAGGCCACCCAGATTTGACCAGCCACGGCAGCGCTTTGATGCCCCTCCCAGATATGACCAACCTCGATTTGGGCAGCAGTCCAAGTTTGAATCAGCAAGGCCTCTCGGCCCTTCAGCTCGTCTAGATTCTCCACCAGCATTTCAGCAGAAACAGCTGCAAGGTCCCCAATCAAAGTCAGAGACAGCCACTGAGCAACCTGTCAGTATGGATTCCAAGACTCCATCAAAACCACCTGATCAGCCACACTCTGACAAAGACAAAGAACAACAACACTTTGATGGGCCACCCAGATTTGATTCACCACAAACACGCTTTGATGGGCTATCCAAGTTTGACCAACCGCGTTTTGCCCCTTCCAGATTTGACCAACCTCGATTTGGACTGCAACCCAGGTTTGAATCCTCAAGGCCCCTCAGCCCTTCGGCTTGTTTGGAATCCCCACAAGTACTTCAGCAAAAACAGCAGCATGGTCCCCAGCCCAAGTCGGAGACAACCATTAAGCAAGTTTCCAGTATGAATTCTAAGACTCCAATAAAACCATCTGATCAGCCACAATTGGAAAAAGACAAAAAAATAACAAAACCGGTTAAAGCCTCTGTTGAAAACTTGGCAGATGACAGCTTGCTTGGAGCTGAAGACTTTTTTGTTCAAAACGATCCCATTCCTCAAACACTTTCTACTAGCACTGAGCCTCAAAATACAGATGACAAAAATGATAGTGGAAAGGATGAACTTATTAGTAGTGAGCCTTCTGTAACTACTGATTTTGGTCCAGTGTCAAAAAGTCCTGCAAAAGATTCTTTTAAAGCAGTTGGACAATTGACAAACAGTAATCCACCACAGATTCAACACACTTCAGAAAATAAACAAGAGCCACAAGGTTCTGAAAAAATGCTATCAAACCCAGAGCCTCTAAATTCCCCTATTGGTAGGGGACTAGGCCAGCCCCCAATGCATGGGCTTGGCCAGACAGAGCCTGGACAGTTTAAGGGACCAAATTCCATGCAAGCTGGAGAGCAGATGGGAGAAATGCCATATGAATACATGCCACCTCGAGAGAACATGGAGGTCCAAGGGGAGCAAGAAAACTATCAGTGGCAAGATTCTTCAAATGAAGAATTTGGTGGTGATGAATCAGGGGTGCCTCCTGAAGAAACATGGGTGCCAGAAGAACATTACTTTCAAGAGGACGAATATTTTGAAGAACCAATAGGACCCCAAATGGGACGAGGTAGACCTCCAATGAGAGGCAGACCTTTAAGGGGTAGAGGTGGGCCTCCGATGGGAAGAGGAGGACCTCCCATGGGAAGAGGAGGGCCTCCCATGGGAAGAGGAGGGCCTCCCATGGGCAGAGAAGGGCCTCCCATGGGCAGAGGAGGGCCTCCCATGGGCAGAGGAGGGCCTCCCATGGGCAGAGGAGGGCCTCCCATGGGCAGAGGAGGGCCTCCCATGGGCAGAGGAGGGCCTCCCATGGGCAGAGGGGGACCACCAATGGGCAGAGGGGGACTACCCATGGGAAGAGGGGGACCACCAATGGGCAGAGGGGGACCACCTATGTGGAGAGGAGGTCCACCAATGGGGAGAGGAGGTCCACCAATGGGGAGAGGGGACCCAATGGAGAGGTCCTGGGAAGACACTGAGTCAGCTGAATTCTATGAAGATAGCTACCATTGCTGGGAAGAATGGGGACCTCCGATGAGAGGTATGAGACCCCCGTTTCCACCTGGTCGGGGTCGTCCCCCTCTGGGTCACCCTGGTTATATGCCTCCAGGACGAGGACGCCCACCTCACCCACTACATGGGAAAACAGACCTTGAGCCATTAGGCCATGAGATGGAGTCTGATGATATGGACTTGGATCCTTCAGTGTACAATGACAATGACCCATATGGCCATCCATTGCATCCTGAAATAGAAAGAGGCAGGCGATGTGTACCGCCAGCACCTCATGAACTGATGGAAGAACCATTGTATGATGAAGCAGGGGAGGAAGGATGGTGTCCACCACCAGGGAGAGATCCTCCATTGCATTCACATGAAATGATGGATAGAGGAGGAATAAGGAGAAGACCTGTGGGACGAGGGATGGCAAGGGGAATGTGGCGTCCAGGTCTAGAACATGACAGATATGAAGAAGAGTACACTGAGGGTTACACTGTGGATTATGAACATGGGAGAGATGCATACCGTTTACGTTCAATTGAAGATCGTCCTCCTGATGACTTTCGCCACAAATCACCCTATGAATCTGTGTGGGACAGAGAGCGAGTGCTTCCTGAGGAAGACTATCCTCCCCGCATGCTACCACCAGAACATGTCAGAGATGAACGTTGGCATCAGGAAACGGAGAGAGATCGCCCATATCCATATGATGACACCGCCAGGTCAAGTGGAGAGCTTAGAATTCGCGAGTACAGGGATGAGTCGCCATATAGACAGTTGTCAAACTTGGATAGGCTTTCTCCACCACCTGAGAGAGGTTATCTTAACTATGACGATCGTAGACCTCACTATGATGAACGTCAAGAAGATTCATTAGTGGATATGCCTCCACACACTGTTGGATCTACTTCAGACGTGCCTGGAAGCTCAGCTGAGACAGAAACCCAAGGAACAAGCAAGGCAAATGTACTTGCACTCTCTCAACGTCAGCATGAGATTATCTTAAAAGCTGCTCAAGAGCTTAAACAAATAAGGTAATTTCTTCCTTTTTTGTTATAAATTAATGCAATATGTGGCAATATTATTTTTTTTGCATGAAGCAACACTTTATTTTCATAATGGGGTGTAATGAATGAAATCTTATGAGATCAAAAGGTCACAAGATTTTCATTAAATTGAAAACACTTGCAAAACCATTACCAGTAAAATTATTTTTGAAGATACACTTCAACACTTGATCCATTGATTTGGCAGCTTGGCCCAGGCAGGGGATTTGGTGGTTGTCTTCTAACTAGAGGGTTGTGGGACTTAATTCTCAGCCCTTGCAAAGTGTCCTTGGACAAGACTTTGTATAGGTGTAGGAGTAAGAATACAAGTGCTTCATATAGTGTGTGTAAGATATATAATTGATAACACTATATGAATGACATCTGGATGCATGCTCAATGATCCAGGTAGAAAAATCTAAGAAATTTAGGTCAGGTCCTCTGGACGATTTAACAAAATTGTAGAAACGGTTCTTCTTTCATCTGAAAGACTTCATTTTGTATTCATTCTTTATGAATGAATAAAAAAGTCTGTAATATGCTTTGCAGGACCTGGAAACATTAAAATCTGGTATGCACTATAATTGTTAAGGGGCTCAAACTAAATTTAAAATAAAACACAGTTTTGTACATAAATAAGATGCGCTGGTGTATAAGTTGCAGGTGTCCACAATTTATATCAGAAACTACACAGCTCTTATTGTAATACAAGGATGAGCCACTAGATGGCTTTTCATAGTTGTTTGCCTTCAACACACACAGACTGGTAATCTCACAGGGGACTTCATGATGAAACGCTCTCTGGCTCATGGTTACTGGGAATCTACTATGGTAAATAACCATTCAACCTACAGAATGAACACAAAAACTAGTCTTAAGAACACACTGCTGGTAATCACTGGAGAGAACAGAGCTAAACACCTACATAACTGAAATTATTAAAAAATTAACATACAGGTACATTTTACCCACAATCCCTTCCTCAGGTCATGTGACCAGCAGTACCCGGTAAAATAGTACAGTACGATAAATGCTCATTAAATTACTGCCATTGATTTTTATCGTTAAGCACATTTTGGTTTTGGTAACAGTTGCTGTTTTCCAAATGTGCTTTATAAATAAATTTGACGACTTCTGCTCCGCAGGACACGAGTCATGACTCACGGGGAGAGGGGGAACACCCCCTTCCATTCTCTCTCGCAGTGAGTGATATTTACCTTACAGAAAAATATTTTTTAAAACTTTTATTTGAATATGTACCAATAACATGCCGGTACACAAAACAGGCTAGGTACGTAATTTTGTATTTATTTATTTTTCTAAACAATTCCTTTAACATAGCTGATTAAAAAAAAGTCTGATGGAATTTTCCACTTGAGTAGAAGTGAAACTGTTCCCTCATAGTCCGAGGTGGCAGACTACGTTCCTGGATGGATGGATTGATGGATGGGTGTTGCCTTGGCGATTTTTTTTATATTTTGGCCATATGGGCTTTCATACCATACCATACCAACTTTATTTATAAAGCACCTTAAAACAACCATAGCTGACACAAAGTGCTGTACATTAAAACACAACATAATAAAAATGAAAATAAAAACAGTTTAAAAACATAAAACATACAATTTAAAACTAGACCCTGCTGGTGTTAAAAACATACATTTTAAAAGCATACAAAATTTAAAAAACTAGATCCCGCTGGTGTTAAAAGCCAAGTAGAATAAATGAGTTTTAAGACGAACTTTAAAAATGGACAGTGAAGGGGACTCTCTGACCTGCAAAGGCAAGTCGTTCCATAACTTAGGGCCCATGACAGAGAAAGCCCTGTCCCCTCTGAGCTTCCTTCTTGTTCTTGGTACCTCCAAGAGCAGCTGATCTGCTGACCTGAGAGACCGATAGGGTATGTAGGGATGAAGAAGCTCAGAGAGGTAAGCCGGGGCAAGATTATGCAGTGATTTAAAAACAAACATGAGCATTTTAAAATGAATCCTAAAATATACAGGCAGCCAGTGAAGTGAAGCCAGGACAGGGGTCACATGTTCCCTCTTTCGAGTTCCTGTTAAAAGTCGTGCAGCAGCATTCTGAACCAGCTGCAGACGTGAGAGCAGCAACTGACTGACTCCCAGATAAAGTGCATTACAGTAATCCAATCGAGTCGAAATAAAAGCGTGGATCACCATTTCAAAATGCTGCCTGGAAAGAAAAGACTTCACTGACGCCAATCGCCTTAAATGATAAAAGCTGGACTTAACCACGGCTTTGATTTGGCTGTCCAATTTAAAATCACTGTCCACCTTAAAACCAAGATCTGTAATAACAGGTTTAAAATATTTCTCCAAGGGTCCCAGGTCAATAGAGGAGGACTCACAGGAGCCACTGGGTCCAAACACCATCACCTCGGTTTTGTTTTCATTAAAATTTAAAAAGTTCAAGGCCAACCAAGCTTTAATATCTCCTAGACATTCCAGGAGATGTGTGAACGTATGTCCATCCTTCTGCTTTAGGGGTAAATAAATCTGACAATCATCAGCGTAACAATGGAATGAAATCCCATGTTTCCTAAGGATAGAACCCAGAGGCAGTAAGTACAACGAGAAGAGCATAGGGCCCAGAATTGAGCCCTGCGGGACACCATATTGCATTGGAACTGAAGATGATTCAGAGTCATTAATTTTCACTGAAAATGTTCTCTCCTCCAAGTAAGACTTAAACCATTTAAGAACAGTGCCATCAATACCAACAATATGTCGTAATCGCGATATTAAAATGTTGTGGTCCACTGTATCAAAAGCAGCAGTTAGGTCAAGTAAAATCAGAACAACATGATTACCAGAATCACAATCAAGAAGGATGTCGTTAAAAACTCTAATTAAAGCAGATTCTGTACTGTGGAGAGTTTTAAAACCTGACTGGAAAACCTCCAGAATGCCATTGTCATTTAAAAACTGTGTCAGCTGACAGTATACAAGTTTCTCTAAAACCTTAGAAAGAAAAGGCAGCTTTGAAATAGGCCGATAATTAGCCAGAACAGTTGGATCAAGGCCAGGTTTTTTAAGCAGGGGCTGCACCACTGCATGTTTAAAACTAGCAGGGACCACACCTAAGGACAGACTGCCATTTAAAATTGCAAGAACAGGCAGCCCTATACTAGATAAAATATCTTTAAAAAGTCGTGGAGGGACAGGATCACATGGGGAACCTGATGGCTTAATGCGGCCAACTACGTCCTCTAAAAGTGAAACAGTCACAAGCTCAAACTGATTAAAAACAGCAGAGCAAGGGACTGAAACTGAGGGGTCAGAGTCAGGAGCTGTAATAAGAGCCCTGGTACTACCAACCTTTTCAATAAAGAAACGCAGAAAATTTTCACACATGCCAGGAGAAGCTTCCAAACAGGCATTTTGTGGAATATTAAGCACAGAGTCAATGGTGTCAAATAAAACACGTGGGTTATGGCTGTTTGAAGAAATAACACTAGCCAAATATTCCCTTTTTGCTTCTTTAACCGTGCTCTGGTAGAGACGCCAACAGTCTTTTAAAATCTGAAAAGTAGCCTGCAGTTTGTCCTTTTTCCATCTGCGTTTCAGTCGTAATCTGCACGGTGGACCCCCCCCCCCAACACACACACACACACACCCAGCTGCAGTGGTTGAGTTAACACAGGTCTCCTCCCCTTACAGTTTCAGGTTGTTGTTTTATTTGTTGTTGTTTTTTTTTTACTTTATTATTTACTTCATTATTCAGTTTATTTATATATTGCAAAGTCACAACAGAGGTAATCTCAGAGAACTGCACAGAAAACATTCACGTATATAAAAAGTCAGTTAATAATAATATTTAAGGAGCCAGCAGATTTTTAAACAGGAAATCTGATCAATGCACGTCTGTTGGGGACTGGTCTCGTGCTCAATGAGAGTTCGGTACCGCATTGGTCATTAGGTGGACTCCTGGTCACATGGCCATTGCCCAATGGGATTATGGGTATTTAGTAGCAAAATTGGAACCACGAGCGAGAAGTGTATGTCATGAGTACCTGTGGCATTTGGTCTGTGTCACAGAAACTAAGAGGAGTGTGATTGGCAGCTATTTGAGGGCTGAGCTGTGTCAAAGGAAAATGTTATTCGGCAGCAGGAAGCTTAGCAGCCTGTCAAATAAAAATAAATAAATAGTACATACATTAGCCACTCTTCTGTATAAGCCACTGAATCCAAGTGTGAGAAAGGCAATTATGGTAATTGTGAAACATTTACCTAGAATAGATTGTATGGCAGCAGTTTGAACAAGCATGTCAGGCACTAGCACCAGCATTCACCATATTGAAGCTTTTAGTCCTATTGTTGAAGGCTGCAGCTTCACGCTGGAAACGTCTCTGAGGATGCACACTTGTTTTAAAACAGAACAGACTCATTGCCAAGTTCACAATTAATTTGTCAAGTTTAAAGATGAGAAGTTTGAGTTTGAACCTCTTAATGTTCCTTTTTGAGTTGAGGGGGATAAAACTGATCAAACAAAGAAAAAAAATAAAATCTGACCATTCTGTTCACTGAGATTGCCTCCCTCCTGCTCTCCACGCAAGCTGTTTAAATAACTGTTCATTAGTGTAAGCCACTTTTCTCTGTGATTAAATAAATAAATTAAAAAACACAAAAGTTTTATTCTAATAACTTTAGTCAGTCCTTAGTTTTTCAACTCAGACACTGCAACATTGCAGCTACAGTGTCTGCATTTATTCAATCCATATATTTGTTTTATACAGTGCCTTGTGAAAATATTCGGCCCCCTTGAACTTTTCAACCTTTTGCCACATTTCAGGCTTCAAACATAAAGATATAAAATTAATTTTTTTTGTGAAGAATCAACAACAAGTGGGACACAATCGTGAGGTGGAATGAAATTTATTGGATGTGTCAAAACTTTTTTAACAAATAATAAAATGAAAAGTGGGGCGTGCAATATTATTCGGCCCTCTTGCGTTAATACTTTGTAGCGCCGCCTTTTGCTGCAGTTCCAGCTGCAAGTCTCTTGGGGTTTGTCTCGATCAGTTTTGCACATGGAGACACTGAAATTCTTGCCCATTCTTTCTTGCAAAACAGCTCGAGCTCAGTGAGGTTGGATGGAGAGCGTTTGTGAACAGCAGTCTTCAGCTCTTTCCACAGATTCTCGATTGGATTCAGGTCTGGACTTTGACTTGGCCATTCCAACACCTGGATACGTTTATTTGTGAACCATTCCATTGTAGATGTAGCTTTATGTTTTGGATCATTGTCTTGTTGGAAGATAAATCTCTGTCCCAGTCTCAGGTCTCTTGCAGACTCAAACAGGTTTTCTTCCAGAATGGTCCTGTATTTGGCCCCATCAATTCTGACCATCTTCCCTGTCCCTGCTGACGAAAAGCAGGCCCAAACCATGATGCTGCCACCACCATGTTTGACAGTGGAGATGGTGTGTTCAGGGTGATGAGCTTTGTTGCTTTTACACCAAACATATTGTTTTGCATTGTGGCCAAACAGTTGGATTTTGGTTTCCTCTGACCAGAGCACCTTCTTCCACATGTTTGGTGTCTCCCAGGTGTTTGTGGCAAACTTTAAACAACACTTTTTATGGATATCTTTGAGAAATGTCTTTCTTCTTGCCACTCTTCCATAAAGGCCAGATTTGTGCAGTGTATGACTGATTGTTGTCCTATGGACAGACTCTCCCACCTCAGCTGTAGATCTCTGCAGTTCATCCAGAGTGATCATGGGCCTCTTGGCTGCATCTCTGATCAGTCTTCTCCTTGCTTGAGTTGAAAGTTTAGAGGGACGGCCGGGTCTTGGTAGATTTGCAGTGGTCTGATACTCCTTCCATTTCAATATGATTGCTTGCACAGTGCTCCTTGGGATGTTTAAACCTTGGGAAATCTTTTTGTATCCAAATCCGGCTTTAAACTTCTCCACAACAGTATCTCGGACCTGCCTGGTGTGTTCCTTGGTCTTCATGATGCTCTCTGCGCTTTGAACAGAACCCTGAGACTATCACAGAGCAGGTGCATTTATATGGAGACTTGATTACACACAGGTGGATTCTATTTATCATCAACAGTCATTTGGGACAACATTGGATCATTCATAGATCCTCACTGAACTTCTGGAGTGAGTTTGCTGCACTGAAAGTAAAGGGGCCCAATAATATTGCACGCCCCACTTTTCAGTTTTTTATTTGTTAAAAAAGTTTGACACATCCAATAAATTTCATTCCACCTCACGATTGTGTCCCACTTAATGTTGATTCTTCACAAAAAATTAAAATTTTATATCTTTATGTTTGAAGCCTGAAATGTGGCAAAAGGTTGAAAAGTTCAAGTGGGCTGAATACTTTCGCAAGGCACTGTATATGGTGAAATGTTTTTAGCTGTTTTAATTTCAGTTAGTGCTTTTTGTTTGAGGTAAGTTTTATTTATTTTTTTAGTTTTGATGGTTTGTGGGGAAATATTTTCATTAGAAATCAGTAAAAAGCAATTAATATTAGAACATAAGAAATAAGTAAGAGTACTGTAGTTTATTTATATATATAAAAAGTTATTTTCATATTTCTATGACTATATTTGTTATTTAGAAAATCTGAAGAGCATGACCATTTTTAAGAAGTCTAGTGAAAAAGAGAAAGTTAGCTGTTGGTCATGTTTTTAAGTGTGGCTTCTTGAGAAATTGTATTGAAATGCCCTGAGTTCAAATACTTAAACCAACTTCAATGGGAAGTTAGGTTCTGTATAGCAGAAGCACCGTACTAAGGTCTGAAGAGGTTGGTGAAAAACCAGACAGAGATGCCAGTCAAGTTTGTGGCAAATGTTTTTTTATTTTTTTTATTTTTTTCAAATATTGGTCAAATCTTGTCCTGTCCTTTTTTTTTTTTTTGTTGTGAACACCTACAGCGTCTTGTCCCCCGTTGTGAGTTGAGTGTTTTGTTATACTCTAAAGTAGTTTGGGAAACTTTCATTTAGTTTAAGTTAACATTGTTTTGTGCTTCAAGGGAATTGCAACAGACAACCCCTACTGCTGAACTGCCAACTAAACCCGGTGAAACTCTGCCAGAGCTCCCTGTAGGTCTCCTGGGTTTAGAGATCCCACCAGATGTCAGGAATGCTCTGAAGGTAATAACTGTGGATATTCATTTAACTCTTAATAACACAAATGCATTTTTTTAGGAAGATCACATTAATTGAAGCAAACATCAGTATGGGCTACAGTTAATTTCCCTACAAGTTGTGAACAGTTCTTTGGCTGATTTTTAGTTGTAATGTTTTCATTGTTGGATATTACACAAACAATTTTTTATATTTGTCCTTACCAGGGTATAAGTGCTGCAGCACAAACAACTGCTACTGATCAAGCATCTTGGGAAAGCAAATCTGCTTCATCTCTCGCTTCAAACCCTCCGTTGATTTCTAAGACTGTTGATTATGGACATAGGCATGGTATGAGCAGGAAAACCGAACGCCTTCTTTATTATTTTTAGAAAAGACCCAGGTGTGCTTCATCAAATTGACATTGACAGGTACTGACTGACTTTAAATGTTTCAGATCATGGGGCTACTGTGGAGCGCATCTCTTACGGTGAGAGAATAGTGTTGAGGCCTGACCCATTGCCATCAGACAGAGGCTATGACACAGGTAGGTATCACATTTTGTTTTTCTGCTCGTTATACTCTTGCATTTCTGTAAACATAGTCTTTTTTGTCTCTTTTTAAAAAACTAGACATGCTGGCTCTCAGGGATCCTTACAACAGAGACCCTTATTATGAAAGACGATCGGACCCCTATTTGGATCGTCGGGAGTACAGCAGAGAAAGGGAGTTGTACAGAGAAAAGCCTCCTGAATATGAAAGAGACAGATACGAGAGGGAGCATTATCATTCACGAGAAAGAGATGACAGGTAAGACGTTTCCTTTGTGAGTTTGCTTAAGTTTTTTGATGCTTTATTCAAGCGCTCCTTGCTTGGTTGAAGAAAGAACTAAATCACAATCAAATCTACCTATGGATATAAATAAAGTTGATTGGATGATTGACAGTTGGTTAGAAATTGCGAATGAGCTTTTTGGTTTCTATTAAAAAATATTTTAAGGTAATAAAGTTTAATTTCCTGCTTTCTGTAGGTCTCCACTGCGATCAGGATTCAGGGACAGAGACAAGGAGCGAAGTGGCAGTCGTGATGCAGATGAACGTTATGTACGACCTGGCTACGACAGACCTTCCTATGAACGCCCCGGACTTGATCGAGGTGGTTCTGAGCGCTACAGTTCACCTTTCACTATGTTAACTGGCCTTCTGTTAATATTGGGTGACATGAAGCCAAAAAAGGTATTAACAGAAAATTAAAGATTTTATGGAAATATTTGAGCTGCGTATAATATCTTACAGCGGACAGAAGAGGTTACCCAGAGGACCGAGGGCCTCAATCTGCAGCACCGCCGCCAGCACCTGCAAAAACCGAGAAGAAGCCTGAAATTAAAAATATTGACGATATCCTCAAACCACCTGGAAGAGTATCTCGACCTGAGAGGGTAATTTTTACCTTCTTGCTGTCTTTTTGTAAGAATATTGTGTGGGTGTCAAATGTTAGGTACTGACAGAAGTTTTATGTTTTAACAGATTGTCATCATAATGAGAGGCCTTCCTGGAAGTGGAAAAAGCCACGTCGCAAAGCTCATAAGAGTGAGTCATATGTCTGTTTTTGTCCATATATAGGTATACAGTAGTGTCTCGTTTATCGTGGGAGATCCGTACCCTGAAGACACGTGATAAGTGAAAAACCATGAAGTAGGAATATTAGTACAAGTAGTAAGTAGTAGTTTATTTTTATAAAGGCGTTTTAAACCCTTCCCACAGTCTTGCAATATTCTAAACAATGTTTCTAAACTCTCTAGAAGATCACAGAATATCATGATTTTCAGCTTCCTGCCTCTTCTGCTCGTTGCCACCTGCAAGCATTCTTGGCCACGCCCAGTTTTTCGCTCTGCACGGTGAACAGCTGATCAGCTGCAGCAGGAAGTTTATCCTGCAGCTCTGGACTGCACAAATGTGCAGCAGATGCTAAATAATTTATTTTAAATAAAAATTCCATGCCAATCTTGTGGCTCATCCATCAATCAGCCAAGTTGTGTGTGGTGTCCAATCTTATTTTGAAAAAACGCGATAGAGCGAGTCTGCGATGAACGAACCGCAAAGTAGCGAGGGACTACTGTACATTCTAATATACATTTTTTAAATATGCCCTAGTTGCAAAAAATGTATTTATACAATTCTCCTTTTCTAAAAAAAAAATAATTGAGAATGTATTTTTGTTTTTTATTTATTTTTTTCAAACAAAGGACAAAGAAGTTGAATGTGGCGGTGCACCTCCAAGAGTTCTCGTTTTGGATGATTATTTCATGACCGAGGTTGAGAAAGTTCAAAAAGACCCAGACACTGGGAAGAGGGTGAAAACAAAGGTTAGTTTGACACAAACAAGACATTCACTTCTTACTTTCTGAGTTGGTATTACCAGTAAAATCATCAACAATTATCCTGCAGGTCCTTGAGTACGAGTATGAGCCAGAGTTGGAGGATACCTACCGGATCAGCATGCTGAAAACATTTAGGAAAACTCTGGATGACGGCTTCTTCCCCTTCATTATTTTAGACACTATTAATGACAGGGTTAAACATTTTGAACAGTTCTGGAGCGCAGCCAAAACTAAAGGCTTTGAGGTGAGATTCCTTCATGAATAAGTCAGAATAATACATCCTTTCAGGTTCACGCTAAAGAAGTTTTGTTTCTTTTATTTCAAGGTGTATGTGGCTGAAGTCACAGCAGATACTCAAACATGTGCAAAGAAGAATGTCCATGGACGCACCCTGAAGGACATATCAAAGGTTTAAAACATTGTTCCTCATTATATTTTTTTTTACTAAAACATATTCATGAATTGTTCTTACTTGAGTATTCTTCATGCAGATGTCCAAAAACTGGGAGTCTTCACCTCGTCATATGGTGCGCTTGGATGTCCGGTCCCTGCTTCAGGATGCTGCTATAGAAGAGGTGAGGTTCTTTCAAGACATGCAGAGTATTGTAATTTTTCAGACTGAGCTCAACTGACCTGTGCTTAAATGTTTAGGTTGAAATGGAGGATTTCAACCCTGAAGATGAGCCCCAGATACCCAAGAGGGAAGAGGAAGAAGAGAGTGATCTGGTAGGACATGAGCACTTAACATGATAGCTGCAAGGGTTAATTTCACTTGTTTTCTCATTTCTCTAAAAGACATATGCATTATTCATGTTTTTATATTTTTTAAATTGATGTGAAGAGCTAAAGGAAACCCAAAGGGTCAATAATTATGATATATTACACAGTTAAGACCAGGTGACAACAGAAAGGGTAGGAGTGTAACACTAGTACTTACAGCAGCTGCAGTTAAAGAAGCAGGTTCCTGTTTGTTTTTACTCTTAACCTCTAAAAAACGTTTTTAAGATTTAAATATTTATTATTTAAAAACACATTTGCACATAAATTACATCATCTATTTTAAGCTACTAGAACATTTCTTTTCCTCTTTTATTCCAAGATACTTTTTTTTATCAAAAGAAAAATGAAATATAATGAAAATTTAGTACAAATAAATATTTAATATAAAATGATAGCAGTAACTAATACTGTGCTAAAATGTGCTAAAGTTGCCAATAAAATGTTCTTAATCACAAATAATCTATCAAACAAAAATCGATGGATCATTGGGTTTGCAACACTGACCTCTTGAGCACAACTCTGGTAATCCCCCCCCCCCCCCCCCCAAAATAAATAAATAAATAAATCCAAAAAGTATTTAAAACAAAAACTGAAAGCTCAAATTCAAGGCCAGAGAAAAATAAGGATGGAAACCTTCTGTTGTATCTTTAAAAGAATATATGCTAACAAGCATTATGGACGTTTCTAAATCATAAATGATTTTAACATTTTAAAAATACTACCTTCAAACCTTCAACTCATTAGGTGCATTTTATTTATTTATTTATTTGGTTAGCTTTGCTCTTCAAGCCAGTCCTCCAGCTGGTTTTGATGCAAATCTTCCCAGAAGTTTAGATTTTTTTTTTATTATTTTTTTTTTTGTCTAAAAATGCTGCAAAGTTTTTAATTTGAAATGTTTACATCAAATGATTCACATTGATCTGTTACTGCAGTAATACATAATACTTAAAATCGGTTTATCTTGACAAACACGTTAAATTAGTTCTGGAGAAAATAAAGGCTTGCTTAGTATAACAGTATTTTCTGGTATCAAGTTGAGGTTAATTTATATTAAACTTTTGCTTCAGAATTTGCTATATTTTTTTGCATTTTTGATTTTCAATATTCAAGCAAACCTTTTTGATGCAAGTCTTATACATTTATTTGTATTAATGAGGTTGGCTCATTTCTTGACAGCAGGGAGGCTTTTAGCCATAAATATTCACATTTAAGTTACTTTTTGTTCATAGTATTGTATAAACGGAGATAAAAGTTATATAGACCAGACTGAGATGGTTGGGACATGTCCAGAGGAGGGACAGTGAGTATATTGAATCAGAATCAACCTTTATTGTCATTGCACAGAAGCACAACGAAATTGTATTTCATGACAACCGTCCAAAGAAAACATGGGTAGACGGGGATGCCTGAGGCTGCAGCCTCGTGTGAAGCGCTTCTTTTTGTTAAGATAAGGAAAAGGGAAACCGTGAGGGGAGGGGGGTAATAAAAAAAATCATATCTCCGACTGTGTCCTTGACACAGTGTGCTTGAGGTTTTATTGCAACCTCACACTGTGTCCTTGATGGGAAACAAAAAAGAAAAAACTCAGCACAAGAAAAAGCAACATCCTGGTGACGTAAAGAAAGTGAGCGACGCGGCCACTGGCGCCGGCGCCTTCACATCTACCTAGGTTGCTGCGCCAGGAGGGGCAAAATGAGGGAGGCCAGCGAATGCGGTGAATTTTTAGAGGAAGTAGTCCGTGAGCACTGTCCAGATAGTCCCCCCCAGCCATAGTCCTGATGAGTGATGGTGCAGTGTTTATCAGCTGGCTCGGTAGAGCTCTGTACAGGTCCATGTCCCTGGGGAAGGGAGCAAGTAGGGGAAGGGGGAGCAGAGCGTCTTGTTCACATAACATCCAGGAAAATTGAGATAAGTCAACCTACCAAGGCTGCAGCGGGGGAGAGCCGGGTTCAGATAGCAACATTTGTTTTGGCTCAGGCCGAGCGCTGTTAATTGGTAGAAGGATGTTAGAAATGCAGCTGCCAGGAAAAAGACAGAGGAGATATATGGATGCAGTTAGAGTGAGGACAGAGGATGCAGAGGACAGTGAGATGGAGGAGGATGATTCGCTGTGGCGACCCCTGAACAGAGAAAAGCCGAAAGAAGAAGAAGAAGATGATTATATAAACAGCTAAATTTCTAGCATGTTAAATATCCAAACTATTCAAGAAATGTATGAAGTTTGTGATAACCTACAATGTTGATAATCAAAGTCAGTTACAGACTTCAAATACTCATTTGGCTGCATGAAAGCTTGTCTTTACTTGTTGTCAAAACAAAATGTGTTTGCCAAACAGATTTTTAGGCTTAAAACTCTGTGGCAAATGCAACATTTGTATCTTTTTGGTGTAACTTCAAAGATTGAAAGTTTTATTCCAATGCTGAAATGACCAATGTTACAGAAATTTCTCTTGTTTAAATTCTTTAAACTACGGTAATTTAAAATGGAAAAACTCATAGTTCTGTCCAAGTAGCTATATTTGAGCAATATATTAAGATTTATTGGTGACAATGTTCTAACATACATTGCACTTTTTCAGTTCTGTCAGATGTTTCACTATGAAATTTTAAATGATTGTTCAGTGTGTCGTGCAGTCGAACAGATAGTTACAGTCAAATAAGTTTGACAAGAATTAAGTTTTTTACGTTAAGTTCTTTAGTTGTTATTTTTAACAGCTAGGTGTTGTATTAATCTCAACATTTACGGTAGATTTGAACTAAAACTTTTCTGGTTCTGTACCTGTAATGTTCTGTAGGAACATGTCCAAATGTTATTTGAACATATTTCTACAAAAAGACAATCAAATAAGTAACTAACAAAAAGAAGGAAAAAACTAAAAACTGTGACGCGTGTTGTGCTGGAGGAAAGCTGTCCGAAACTCCAGTTTGTGCTGGGGCTTTGCTGCAGATCACAAACAAAAGTTAAACCCATAATTAACAAACAGTAAATGACAGCTGAAGGGAATTTCGGTACTTCAGTGGTCAGCGTGGCGTTCTTTTAATCTTGAGGCTTCCGGTTTGAGCCCAGGTTACGTTAGGAAGAGCATCCAGCGTAAAACAATTGCCAAATCATTTGTGTGAGTTCATTTGCTGTGGCGACCCCCTGAAGGAGGGAGCAGTCGAAAAAGAAAAAAATTAAAATGACGGCTGAAGATTTTCTTTATTCTGCTTTTGATTTATGTTTGGTGTTTATTGGCATGAGTAATTGAAGTCAGAAGAACCAAGACATATTGGTAATTAAACAATTAATACAGTTAACAAATGGAGGCTTTAGATACATGTGAAAGAACCATATACAGCCACAACAGCATGGTATCTCATGCTGCTTGCCAACTTGGTCACACGTTGATCCATTTGTTGCAAGTCAGCCAATGAGGTTGTCACTCTGGAACTGATGGTACATCCAAACTGATCCCAGTTTCCATCCAGTCCATCCATTTTTCCAAATACAATAAACCCTGCCTTGTGTGTGGACATGTGGCATGCTTGGAACAAACGCCAACGGATCACTGTCCATGCTCACAGGTGCCGACAATCAGGTGTCAATCAGGCACTTCATTGTCCGCACCTGGAGTGTATTATGCTTTTGTTCTAAATTAGTTAAACGCAGGTTGTTTTAGGTTCAGTGAAAATGTGTTTTCCATATTTGTGTATAACCTCATTATAATAATAATAATAATCATTTTATTTTAAAAAGCGCCTTTCAGGACACCCACATTTTATCTGCTGTACATGAAATCAAAACGTTTAAGTTCAAGGAAAAAAGAAACTCAACAAAATGTACAAAAAAAGCATGATTTTGTGCAGTCACTTTAATAATTCAATTTTGGTTGTGGTACTAAATATGTCCTGGGACCATACTTTGTCATGAGAACTAGTTTTAAATCCATAGTTTAGGCCAGATTTCTGAAAAATCCTGGAACTTTGTCTTTTAAAAATTTCAATGGAAATGTGACAACTTTGCACAAAAAATATTGACCTTTTCAGTAAAACGTGACTAACAAGTATGTACACGACATAAGAACAATGGGGAAATGTTGCATTTTGTTCAAAATAACTTTTCAATTTAAACAGAAATGCATATACCGTAATTTCCGGACTATATAGCGCACCTGAATATAAGCCACACACTAAATAAAATTTTTACAAGGAATTTGTACATATATATATATATATATATATATATATATAAGCCGCACTTGCGTATAAGCCGCACTTGCATATAAGCCACCGATGTTCACCTTGTAGCATGAGTGGCAGCACACAGCTACTGAGAGTGAGATGTGCAGATCTTCTTATAGATCAAGAATCAACCACCAGATGGCGTTTTATAGACTTCTTTTTACTGTTCAACACACACAGAATGAACCCCATGTCTTAATGACTCATGACAAGTGCCTGTCTCTCTCATGGTTACGCTTCTGAATGGCCTAACACAAATTAACAAGTAATTAACACATAAACTAGGCTAACAAAAACAGACTACAGTGTTTCCCCTACTTTACTTGCCTTGGTAGGGCGCTTATATCTTCCATGATATATATATATATGGGGGGGCATCTGTGTTGCACGCTGTTTGGACCGACAGTTTGAGAGTTGGGGCGTAGTAGACTGCATGAGGGAAACGGCGCTACCTATGTAGCTTTTTAGCTAGCGCATCTGTATCGTGCACCGCTAGCTAATCTCTATGTCAGTGCCAGCAGATGACGGGGGAGTTCGATTGACAGGGTGCTCAATTCTGTTGACAGCGTGGGGCACCCTGCTTGCATAATGGTAGGGGAAACACTGGATTAATCACTAATAGAACAGTGCTAAACAGTTAACCAAAATGCTTAATAATGCACTTAAATTTCACCCATAATCCCTCCCTGAAACCATGTGACCAACAGTCAACTACAATGAGTCAC